TAGGAAGCTAAGAGATGCAGGCAATATTTTTTGCTGTTAGTGGTGCATAATAATTATCAGAAACAGAACTCCAGCAACAGTGTTACTGACTTCATTTTGTTAGATGTAAGTGTGCTTTGTTACTTCTTAAAATATATATGTTTGTATATGTATATAAAAATAGTCTCTCTTAATTATTGCAGAAATAGATAAGTTGCTGTTACTATCAATACTTCGTGGATATTGTGGTAACAGCTGATTTTAGAGCACTGATGGTGGAAAAACAGTTCCACATTGAACCAAAATTACACGTATTCTCAGGATACCAGTGTGGAATTACACTGAACTTGTACAGTTCTTAGTCCTCTAGTTCCCAGAGAGGACCAGGGTAGGTAGGTAATGGGAGGAACTTTATAAACCAAGGGATTTCTGAGAAGAAAGTCACTCTGTAGCTCTGCAGCCTGGCTGCTAAAGTACTCAAGAGTCTGGCATCTCTTGCACATTACAATTGGGTAGTTGGCATATTGCTCACAGTAGGAGACACATGCCACAAGGACATCTACTCATGAGTTGTGATAAGCATTTGCAACCTGAGGGGAATGGATGATAAAACCATACGCTTGTGCGCCAAAGAAACAATAGGAAACAGACAGTCTATCAGTCACGTGAATTGTGCTTGGCCTGTTGCAATGGAATAGCCTTTAACAAAAAAAATGAAAGCTATTTACCTTCTGAATGGATTTTACATAGTTGCACAAAAGGGAAAAGAAATAAGAAGAGAAGAGAGAAGAAAATAGAAAAGAAGAGAAGGGTTACCACCAGCTCTTCCCCTCCAAAATTAGCATTGGCATAAGTGAAGTCACACACAAAGGAAAGTCTCACTTTCTTTGTGCTTCTTACAATGACATCAACATGCATGGCTATGAGATGACGAGAGTATACCTCACTCACAATGAGTAACAAATTAGAATTCTCTTCAACGTAAAAAAATGATAACACAAGACCATCATAGGTATATGCTAGCTCTTTCAAAACATCTCTTTTTGACTAGTTGTCAGTTAAAATCATGTGATTTGCAATCTGTTCTATCTAATACAACATGGGGATATTCTGAATAGGCTGAAGAATGTCTACTATGCAACTTGTCTGGAACATCTGCCAAAAATTAATTTGGCTTTGTTTTCAACACAGTTATCTACTTTGAAATTACTCCATAGAATTAGTAGTGATATTCCATGGGTAGAGGTAGATTATGGGGTTTAAATAATCAAATTGGAGCCCCATAACTTTATGTGCTATAGGAGGTTTCTCATAAAACTGAGATATTCCCATAATTAACCACTAGCCATGGGATATTATAATATATTCCATGGTGACTAGTATTTTTTCCATTCCCCCCTCCCCCCCCAGTAGAATTAGTATGATTAATTTTGCTCTGGTTTCGCCTATTGCTAACATGAATCAGTATAATTAAAAATAAGAACACCATGTTATGAGGTGATCACTGTTTAGGCCAAACCAGCAATAATGACCAGTCAGACCTTTTCCAGTTGGTCTTTGCTGCTAGAAGGTTGAAAGAGCTGTAACTCACCAACCCATACTTGCAAAAGGAGCATGTTTTAGAAAATGTGGTTCAAAACTCTTCATAGTTCTAAACACTAAATTCTAGTGGAATATTATAGAATAAATTGATTTGCATGCCATAGAATGAACATCCTTACATCTAGTCTTGTCTCAGAGCGAGTCATTTTGCATTAGTGTCAAGAATTTGAGCTGTTGTTCTACTTTGCAGTTAATCATCAGAAAGAGATGGGACTGTCTCATGAATATGCATGATGGTATAGTTGTCCCTTCAACTTACTAGGCACCTAGTTTCTGTAATGAGATGTACAATATCTGCCATTTAAAACAGCTGAAAGGTCCCAAATGGGAACAAATGAGAAAGCATCTGGCTGTTTCGAATTCCAGCCCTGTTTTGTCAGAAAACTCTGTAATTGCTGAGTACTTGGCTCCTACTCTGCTCTATGAAGCATTCAGCTCTCAGGAGCCTCTGAGATGCATTATACAGTCCAGCAACATAGCTGTAGAACTCTCAAAATTCTTCCACTAGATGTAACAGCTCTTCAGAATATCTTGAGACTTGTATGCCCTTAACCAGGACCAAAGTTTGGGCTCCTAGAGCGTGCTCTCATCCTTAGTTTTGCTGATCAGCCTCCACTGTACCATTTGTCCCTGCAACCTAGACTTCACACATATTATTCAGTGTGATGGTGGGACTAGAATGGATAAATGTGCTACCCATTGCTCTAAGAAAGCAGTCTGGCTGAATCTTAAATCACTACGCGGGATGGAGGTTAACGGTCAGATGGACATTCCTCTAAGAGGTTTCCTACCTGCTCTGTTAATTTCTAAAATTTCTTCTTGGGCCAGTGGGCAAGTGTCGCTCTGGGTACTGTGGTGTGGAGAGTTTACGACAGATTTACAATAATTGGGGGATCCCAGCTGGGGTGGCCTCGGGATATGCTTCTTTTTTTTCTTTGGTAGCTTCTGCTTAGCCATAGCTAAGGAGTAATACATTCCGAAATTGTTCACAATGACAGGGACAGGCATGGCAATGGTCAGCACACCAGCGAGAGCACAGAGGGCCCCCACCAGCATGCCTGACCAAGTCTGAGGATACATGTCTCCGTAGCCCAGGGTCGTCATGGTGACAACAGCCCACCAAAAGCCGATGGGGATATTTTTAAAGTGTGTGTGTTCACTGGCACTAGGGTCATTTGGTTTAGCACCTATTCTCTCAGCATAATAGATCATCGTGGCAAAGATTAAGACGCCCAATGCCAAAAATATGATGAGCAGCAAGAATTCGTTTGTGCTGGCGCGGAGGGTGTGTCCTAAGACCCGCAACCCAACGAAGTGGCGGGTCAGCTTGAAAATTCGCAGGATTCGCACGAAACGGACTACGCGGAGGAAGCCCAGGACATCCTTAGCAGCTTTGGAAGACAGGCCACTGAGTCCAACCTCTAGATAGAAAGGCAGTATGGCCACAAAGTCAATGATGTTCAAAGAGTTTTTGATAAACTCCACCTTGTTTGGGCAGAAAGTGACTCTCATCAAGAACTCAAATGTAAACCAGACCACACAGACACCTTCGATGTAGGTGAGAAAGGCTTCGGTCTCTGCTTCCCTGTAGTGCCGCACCTGGGTGTCATTCCCGATGAATTCAGTTTCTGTCTTGTTCACAATGGGGTTAAATCTCTCATGGGTCTCGAGGCAGAAGGTGGTGATGGAGACCAGAATGAAGAAGAGGGAGGCAAATGCCACATACTGTGGAAAGAAAGATATGAGAGAAATATTAAACAGTAGATTAAGTACAGGGGCTTTGATTCTGAAACACCAGGGAGAGACAAGAGCCATGTTAAAACTAAAGATAACGCCAAGTCTTCTTTCTGTGGGCTGAAGATTCCAAGTCTCACCTGCAAAAACAGTCTAACATTCAAAATTGGAGGGAGAGCAGTATGTAAGTACATGCTAACAATCATTCCTATACAGATAGCACTTTAGCGCGAGCGTAAATTTACGCAAGCATTTGAATCTCAGGACTTTCTGTGGGATTTGAGGTTAAGGACATATTGAAATTGTACCTTCCTGAACTTGGTCTTCTGTTACTTCTCGTCTTAAAGATAGAGCACACTCTCTAGGACAATTGTCATGCAAGAGTCTTTTCACGGCATTGTGTCAGTGGTATGGTGGCTGTCTCCTGCTCCCAGCTTAGTGACAGTTGTGGTATCTCAGATCTCGGTAAGGTGCTAGTAAATACTAGTGGCAGTCTCAGGCGGTCTCTACAGCAAGGAGTAGAGTTCTGCTTGGCATCATCAGACTTTCCTCCTGAATCCCAGGGACAGGTTGAGTAATAGTCACATATCTCCTAGACTAAACATCTTCTCTGTTCTCAGTTCCCTTCTCCAGCTCTTTTGGGGGTGGGGGACAGGGAGGGGAAGAAAGTGGTTTCAGATAAGCCTGTCAGTTGATCCAAAGGGAGACAGATCCATTGGGTTTCACCAGACAAGGTTTTCTTGAAGAGAACAGACTTGTACCAGAACTAGATGATTTTTTTTTTAAGGCTGTTGGATTATGATTTGGTTAATCAAATTACAGTGAAGGTGATAGCAGCCCCCAAAGTCAATGAGTGTTCTTAGGAGTATTTGCCTCTTTGGCTTCAGTTCCTGCTTTTCATAGAATCATAGAATGGTTTGGGTTTGAAGGAATCTTTAAAGGTCATCCAGTCCACCCCCCCCGGAATGAGCAGGGACATCTTCAACTAGATCACGTTGTTCAGAGCCCCATCCAGCCTGACCTTGAATGTTTCCAGAGATGGGGCATCTGCCACCTCTCTGGGCAACCTGTCCCAGTGTTTCACCACCTTCATCATAAAAAATTTCTTCCTTATATCTAGCCTAAATCTACCTGCTTTTAGTTTAAAGCCATTACCCTTTGTCCTATCTCAACAGGCCCTATTATAAAGTCTGTTCCCATCTTTCTTATAAGCCCTCTTTAAGTACTGAAAGGCTGGAATAAGATCTCTTTGGAGCCTGCTCTTTTCCAGGCTGAACAACCCCAACTCTCTCAGCTCTTCTCAGGCTTTCCTCAGCCCAAATGAGACCTGTTGGTTGTGTTCCAGGATAATTGAGGGGTACATTTGTGAAGTTTTGGATGCCCTCTCCCTGGCAGTGTTCAAGGCCAGGCTGGATGGGGCTTTGAGCAACCTGGTCTAGTGGAAGGTGTCCCTGCCCACAGCAGATGACCCTTAAGGTCCCTTCCAACCCAAACTGTTCTTTCTATGATTCTACGGTCAGGCCAAAATTTGCAACTCTTGTAACCACAGTTCCTCTGCTCAATTCTCCTTTAATTAAATAAGTAGTTTACATGTATCTAAGAAGTCTCTGCATGTTGGAGTGGTACAGTAATGGTAATACCTCTTTCTATTTCACTCCCTACATCTGTTATCTTCCTGTTTATCTTGTGTGTCACCTTGACAGGAGATGGCAGATAAGGTATTATTTCACTGTCTTCATGAGCATGAGCAACTGTGGTAATTAAATTATTATTCAAATCTTCTTATAGTCTCCTGTTATTCATAATATGCCTTTTTCAGCAGTGTAGCCAAAAAAGGGGTTAAAAAGAACTGGTTTCTTCTAATTATCTGTTGCCAGTAAATGGAGTGCAATAATCTAAAAGATATTGCTGCCAAAGGAATAGACCAGTTAAAAATAACCTATGCTTCAATGTACCAAGGCTCTCCTGCAATTAGGAAGTTCCTCCTGTAGACCTAGACTACAGAGGTAGATCTAGCACAGAATTACACTTGACCTTCCATATTAGCAAACAAAGTCAAAAGCAAGGATTTGCCACAATTTGACATGAACTATTTAATAGAATACAGAGAAACTGGCAGAGAATAAAAATCAGAGAATCATTTAGGATGGAAGGGCCCTCTGGAGCTCGTTTGATACAACTTCAAAGTTGAACCAGGTTGCTCAGGGTCTTGTCTGGTCCAGGTCTGAATACCTCCAAGGATGGAGATCCCACAGCCTCTCTGGGAAGCCTGTGCCAGTGTTTGGCCAGTAGAAGTGAATAAGCTTGGAAGGGTACAGAAGCAAACAGGCTCTTCTGCTTTTCAAATCCAACTTTGTCACCAAAGAGATCAGAACCTAGCCATTGTCACAGATTTTAAAAAACCCAGTACCTTCCTCTAAATGCTTCAGACTATCGTAACATTGTTATGTGATGATCTAATATATGAGTTGATATGTGCTAAAATCAATGTCTAATGTAAATAGTTGTCTGGAAGATCAACAATCTTTAGGTTAGGGAAATTGAGAAGCAAGACTGCAGGTATCTTCTTATTAGATTCTCCTGCTAAACAGAGAAATTTCTCCATTCACAGTTTTTCCATCTGTAAAATAGGTTAAAAAAAATACCAGCTGGTGTTTGTCATGTAATCTGTGATCCTAGATAAATGTGTACAGGTTCTGTATGCTTTCGTTTTAATGTTACTGCCTGTAGTGTATCAACAGTTTCCCTGAAAAAACAAGTTGCAGAGTCTTTTAAGTGGCCAAAGTCAGCTTGTGTATGATATTGTTAATGCTCAGAGCTTAATTAAGTAGAGGTTAATACCCCAATTGTCTGAGTGTGAGTAAAACGAGAAACAAAAAACATCTTGCACCAAGAGCTCAGGAAAATGTTCCTAGCACCCTCAGTATGTCTGCTCTGTTTCAGCCTGGAGCAGATTTTTACTGTAGAGTCATAAAGCCCTGAGAATTCAAGCTGCAGAAGGAAATGCTGACACTTCATTAGGACGGTAGCACTCACAGATAAGAAGCAGAGAGGGGAATAAAATCATTCTGCATTTTAAGGGGTCTGTGAAGAAGTCCCCTTTCTTTATGCTGACTCAAACTGCAATTCTCTTGATGTATACGTGTACCTCTCTTGAGTGAGTTTTTCTCTGCTTAGGACAACCTTCAGGCTGACCTTGCACAGCAAGTATTTTGCAAAGTGATGTTTTGCTGTATTAAAGGGAAGAAATATCGAATTGTGACACGACATTGAAGTTCTCTGCAGTGGTACATGCTAGCAGTGTTACCAGTAGAGAAAATTACACCTATGCTCTCTCTTGCTGTTAGCCCCTGTGTGTGTGCACCTCGGCTTCAGAGGGGAATTGAAAAATTTTAGTCCCTAGTTCAGCAGAGCAGGAAGCACCTGCTAAATGAATGTGAACCATTTGTTTCCTTCTATCTGTATTTAACAACATTCCAGAGCAGGGATGGCCATGTTCTTGAATCCTTTGCAGCTTTGGAAGTGTGGGTATGCTTTCAAGATTTCATAAAACCATGTCTAAGCAATGGTATTGACAGGAATAATTTCAGTATTTCTTCTCCAATATATTGTTTTTTTCCTCAATTGAATTACTATCTAATCCTAAAACCTATTTTATATTTGGGAATTAAAAATGCTTCTTAGTCATTCTTAGTCATTCCATGCTTCAATATTAAAAGGCCCCAGACTGAAAGGAGAATACAATGGAGAGCAGCCTTTTACTAAAGGTCCCATTACAGTTCCCCAGTCCCTTGGCTGATCCAAAGAAGTGCCTGAGAATCAGGCCTGACAATTCGTTCACTGGCACCCATCTCTGATAGATTTGTTGCTTGCAGCTGCTTGCAGCTTTATCATTGACATAGATACATGTTTGTGATCACCAATTTATATTGCCCCCACCCCTTTTTTCTTCTGAATATTTTTCGTTGTTAATTATCTGATATAGGATCTGGCAAGCTGTAAGCAAAATCCAATAGCACCAAATTCAGTGAGTATGTTTTTCCAAGGAGACCAGCATTCATGTATACCAAAGGAGTTGAAAAAAGAGTTCTCTCTGGCCCGTTGTCAGAGGCCAACAGAGATCAGCCATCATGACTAACATGATAGCTTGTCAAGTCCAGAGAAGAGTAATGCTGGTAAAATCTAGTGAAGAGTATGGGACTTGTACACGTTCTACCATTTTTGAAAATAAGGCTATCCCTTTCTATTTCGCTAATAATGGCCTGAACATCAAACCAATGGATTGCTCTTGTATTATTTAGAGGTTCTTAATCTTCTTTCTCCTTACATTTTACAACAGAATTTCTCTTCTTTCTAGGATCTGAATGGGGTTGGGGAAAGGAGTGAGGATTTTATGAATTGATGTCACATGTGGTTGAGTTACATAATAGCAGCTAAAATTTTCTATAATTAAAGAAAATACTGAGGTAAAGTGTTTGAAGCGATCAAAACTCTTATCTGCTTTTACACATGTGAATGATTCCTATTTCAATAGAGATGCTTCTGCTGTTGCTTTTTTCTGGCTTTAATACCAACAAAGAAAAATCTCAGATTGTATGAAACCGCAGAAGCCATAAGAGAAGGCAGAGAGGAGATTTTAAAGGGGGATGTTTTGATTAAAATATAAGTTACATTAAAATGTCTTCATTCTGGAGAGAAGAAACTACACTCCTGCATAACTTAATAGTTAATAGTGTTAGTGGATCTATTTTAATAAGGTTATTTTGAAAGAGTCTAAAAGATTTCATGCCCATAAGTGGAGAATTTCATAATCTAATTCATATTGCCTCTGATTAAATCTGTCTGCCTGTCTATCTATCTGTCTATCTATCTATCTGTCTATCTCAAAGGCCTGCTTCTGTACTGCCCTATGCCTAACCTGGCCATTTTTGCCAGTGCAGTGTGAATATGAAGTGCAAATTAATTCAGAATAGTAGTGTTTCACATCAGCT